AAAAAAAAAAAATCAAACTAACAGAAAGTTTAGGATAAAAAAAAGAAAGATAGAAAGAAAGTTTAGGATTAAAAAAAGAAAGAAAGAAAGAAAGAAAGTCTAGAAAGTTCAGAAAGTGAAGTAACTACTGAATACAAGAAAGTTTAGAAACTTTAGAAAGTGTATGTACTAACTAACTAAGTTCCATAATGAAGGAAAGCACCCAACACACCCAACACACCCACGCACACACACACACACACACAATGATTGTGCAAATTTTTGAGAAATGGAGCAAGAGGATAAGAGATCGGGCCTGTGGAAGACGCACCGCTCACGCAGGAGCTCTCTGTCAGCATGCACAAGTGCTGGAAATAAATATTTTTAATTTTTTTGTATTGTTTTACCGTTAGGCGATTGAGTATCCCAGGTTCAATGAACTTGTCGAAGAACTGCATGTCCTCCTTGCAATTGTCCAGCAGGTGTTGAATCTGAGACAAAGCAGCACACACATACACACATATACAGAAGCAAAAAAAAATGAGAAAAAAAAAGATTCAAAATCTATACCATGTCGCATGTGGCATTTTTGTTTTTGTTTTTGTTTTTAAATCGACAGGTTGTGGCAGGGGTTGGATCCAGACTTGGAAGGTCGCTCGCACCAGTTTCACAGTGATTATGATGATGGTTTTCACATTCACATTGATTATGATTATGGTTTTCACATTCACACTGATTATGATTATGGTTTTCGCATTCACATTGATCCATGATTATGGTTTTCACATTGATCAATGATCATGGTTTTCACGTTCATCAACGATTATGGTTTTCACATTGATTGAGCGCCGCATATTTGATGTTCCCCGTTGTCCTTAACTGTCGTTGGGTTAATTCGACGGGTTAGTTTGACATGATTGGACAGTTGGAATCTGGACGTCCCGCTGTACACTGGACATTTGGATGTCTCGTCTGCTGCTATGTCTGGGTACCGATGTCAGAAAGAAGCCCCATTCCGAATAAGTCTGAGAAACACCGAAGTGTTTTTTTAATTTTTTTTTCTTTTTGTTCCTTTGAAAAAAAACTTTGCAAATTAGTTTCGGAAGTTTTCTCTGGAACTTACTGAGTTTGAAAAAAAAAAAAAAAAAAGAAACATGTTTACTGTTGGGTATAGTGCAATACTTCCTTTTCTTTTCCTGTTCCCTTTCCACTGCATTTAACTGTGCCAATCTGAATGAACCATGGCAGCGGCGGACAAGTGAACCGGACAAGTCCGAACACCGGAAACCGGATTTTCCAGTTTCATCCAAACGTCCGGATTTTCGGAAATTTCAGGTTAATCCGGACGTGTCCAGATCAACCTGTGTCTGAATCCCTGTCCGGATGGATGTATATGTCCGGATAAAAGGGAAAAAAAACAAAAAAAAGAGTGCACATACGAAGCGCTATACGAAGTACTGCAAACGGATTGAAAACAACGAAAAGGCCATGTGGCACGGGTAGGGGSGGGGGGGGGGGGGGRGGTTACAGSGAGTACATGACAACAACCAAGACGAGGGGGAGGAGGACGAAGACGTGGAGGAGGAGCGGGAGGAGGCAAAGACGCGGATGCGGAGGAGCGAGAGGAGGACGAAGAGGAGGAACACGACGACAAAGATCCGAAGGAAAAAACAAAACGACAGAAAGGGCGCCACGAGGCATGAGCAGGGAAGGGAGTGGGGGAGGTTATACCAAGTACATGACGACGACCAAGACGAGGACAAGGAGGAGCAGGAGGACGAAGACGTGGAGGAGCGGGAGGAGGACGAAGACGTGGAGGAGGCAGATGGAGGAGCAGAAAGGAGGAAGACCATGATAACGAAATGACGAGAGAGAGAGCGAGAGAGAGAGAGAGGGAAGGAGAGAGAGAGAGAGAGAGAGAGAGAGAGAGAGAGAGAGAGAAAGAGAGAGAGAGAGAGAGAGAGAGAGAGAGAAAGAGAGAGAGAGAGAGAGATTCCTCGCTGGGCATCCCGCGCTGCCCTTGCTGCGTCCACTGCCAGCCCTGCTGCACCTGCTACGCGTCTGCTCCTTGCCTTCTATGGCTGCCTCGTCCTCCCTCTGACGATGGCGGTAGTGGCAGGCATGCAAGCTTGAACGTTGTTGTGGGAAGGGGGGCGGCCGAATTCGCAAGGCGTGAGAAGGAATTCGAAGACTGCGCCTACTACCAGGCCACCACGATGCAAGGACGGCATTCAAGCGGGCAGAAAACATAGAAGGAAGAAAACTTCCCACAAGCACAAAAATAAAAAACCTGGCCCAACCGGATGCCCCTTCAGGACCAAAAAAAATCTACTCGTATTTTTGGCTGGTGGCCCTGGGCGCGACGAAACACCCTGGACAGCGAAATTTTTTTTGGCCATTGGCCAAAAGGTCTGGATTCCAGACCAGACATGTTCGCCGGACACTGGACACCGGACAGTGCGGATCACTGCCATGGAATGAACTAAAATCAAGTTTCAAGGTTCAAACTTCAATGACCTTTCTTCAAAGTTTTTAAAAATGGTTTTTGTGTACTTTTCTTTTTTTGTTGCTGTTGTACATAACGGGGGTAGCGCCTAACTGCGCTTCTCTAATTAATTCCAGACAAGACTTAAGTCATAACCTGTTAACTAACAGCTACGAGTGTTTATCATTCATTCAGCCAATAAACCTGAATGGAATCCAACTTCGCATCCCTCCGTGAATTTTCCGCAAAGAGGATTCACCCAACTCCGCTAACTCAGCAAACTCCTTTGCTAAGAGCCAGATAAGAAAGAGAACTCAACGAACACCTTCGTTATGTGCTAATTAAGATCTGTTATAGTCCGCTTAGCTCCAAAGGTGTTATTAGCCGACTTCAGTCAATGAATAACTGTCTTGACGCCAGCTTTGGCTGGCTTTAGGCTCGCCAGAGTTCAAAAGCAAGAGGCGAATAACAGGAGTTGAACCCAGTGCTTCGAGCCTTTGAAATCGTGCCTGGCTACGTGTGTTTAGAGATTTTTTACCACAAAGGAGCGAAGCCGCTACCATTCCATTTTTTTTTCCCGCCGAAACCGAAAGGAAGGTGAGGACTGCCAGGTTTTAGCTCTTAACCAACTCGGCTACCAAGGAGTTGCCTGAGTTCTCTTGCAAAAGGACTCCCAAATTTTAACTCTTAACAAAATCCTAACCAACTCTTAACAAACTCTGAACCACCTCTAAACAAACTGATAACCCACTATTAACCAGCTCAGCTACCAAGCATACTTGCAAGCGGACGCCGTCCGGGCGGTTCCGCACCTGCGGCAGACCGCTGGACCGGACCCGCGCGGCGCACGAATGTGCGCCCGACGATCAGTTACGCCCCACCCCCCAAAAAAAAAGAAAAAAATGGCCCCGTCCGGTCCGGTCCGGGTCCGTCTGGTCCGGGGGGAGGGTGCCGCACGCGGCAAAGCGGACCGGACCGGAGACTCGTCCGGTCCGTCTGCTTGCAAGTATGCTAAGTTCTCTTGCAAGTAGAGAAGGACTCTCAGATTACAACTCTTAACCAACCCCCTTAATGAACTCAGGACCAAATAGTAACAAACTCTAAACCAACTGAAAACAAAATCTAAACCAACTGTAAACCAACTGATAACCACTCCTTAAGCAGCAGAGCTACCAAGCTGTTAGCTGAGTTCCCGATCAAATTTCAAATTTCCAACCCTTAACCACTTCTTAACCCATGTGAACATGGGGTTGGAGGGGTGCGCATGGACCAGAGGAGTAGCTGAGATTAACTTTCTGACCCGCTCACGCAACACGTACGACTAAGGGCCTCGCTCCACTACTCTCGACACGCACAAAAGACAAAAATCATGACGGTGTATCTTTCCATGCTCTTGCGGAAGATTCACTCTCGATTTGCGCATTTCGAGAGTGGTGGAGCGAGGCCCTAACTCCTTACAATCATCATCTCTATCGACAGTTCTTTTTTTAACGCTGTGCGAGCCATGCGAGGGGAGCAAAGAGTAAGAGATGATGGCTAAGCTGGAACAGAGAACTGAAGGGTTGTTGTTGTTCATCCTCATCCTCATCATCGTCTTGAAGTGCTGAAAAGTTTTCATACCACGTGTTGAAGATAGGCAGTTGCACACTTCATGTCATCCGTCAAGTCCGCAAACGCAAGCTCCGGTTCAATCATCTGTCAGACATCAAGACATCCATCTGGTCAGAGAACAACCCATAACCCAAACAGTGGTGATGGGTATATTATTCACCATACATCAGTTTGCCTTTGCCTATGCCTTCCTTTAAAAAAAAAAAAAAAAAAAAAAAAAAAAGGACAGAACCTTAGGGTTTTGGGCCTTTTGACTCCTTTTCCATTCTGGGGAGCGTCAGTCCACCGGTTCCTATTCCCCCGGCAAGTCATAAAAATTACAACAGATACTCACGCACGCTCCTCCCCCTTCTAGTGTGGAGGCCCGAAAAACGGCATTGATTGCTTCCCTAGGGAAGGATGTACCATTCTTCACCCCTGCCTAATTTAGCCTGTTTTGTCATGCTGTTATACTTGAGAGCTAATCTATTTACTTCTAGTCCAGTACCGTTGC